TTATGTTTCTATTATACAGTAAATTATACAAACAACCAAACATAAAGTATCTACCTCATAAATTACACTGATGCATCTGCTTCCTTGCCGTGAGTGAGGCTGTGCAGCATTTGTCCTTGAGCAGTGGTTAAAGGAAACACTCACCTGCAGTAACAGGAGGCGTGGTTTCTTCAGAAGTCTGATGAGGAAAAGAATGTGTGTGTTGCAAACAATCGGTTCTTGCGAGTGTGCACATGTTAAAATGAAACTTCATTAAATGCTTTTAATGCCAGCGTGATGTGATCTGGTTACGCAGCTGCTACAAACCTTGGGCCTTGACCTTTGACCTTGCTATGATGAAATGTTTTCTTGAGTGTGTCCATACCTTGTTTCATTTGTGCACACAAACATGTTTCCAGGACAGACACAAACTGACAAATCAACAAATCTTAAATCTTAACATTTGATCAGTTTCATGTTTCACTGGAACAACACTGTTTTAGACGGTGGTGTCCTGTTACAGCTCACAGATTAAATGGGACCGGCTTCCATGGGTCCCATGTCTTCCCAAGTCCAATCTTTTTGGACATTATTGTTAGTGGCTGTGGCAATACACCTCACAGGTAACGTTAGTATAACAACATGTGAATGATGACAATACTGAGAAGTTGATGTTTATGTTTAGTATCTTGGTTTAAGATCTCACAGTGATAACACTTGTTAAATAGGGCATTACGATTTGTTTTGATGAGATTTGGTCATTAAGTATTGAAATGCACTTTGAAATTTAAACCTCATGATGTTAGTGGACAAATAAATAAATAAATATCCTTTCATTTTATCCACTGGCCGACTTTAAACCATGAAGCAAGAGGACAATTGGGACGATTCAAGCTCTCTGGGATCAATAAACATTGACTTCATTCCTTCAAATGGTTGTTGACATACACTTATCTGGATCAAAGACTGACGAGCAGGCACAGAACAACTCTGTCATCCCTGAAACCGAGCCACAAATGATGCGGACATCCAGAATTTTCCAGAGACTGTGACATACAAAAATACCACAAGAAATCGTGTTTAGAGTAACTACAGTAGCTGGTAAAGCAATTTCCTCAATGTTGTTTTGAGTTAATAATTATCAGTTGAAACAATGAAGGTGTGCTCAACACTAAACAAACCACCCACACCCTAACACACATGGGGTCAATAATCCAACACAGGGCATCAAAAGACCATGAATAAAATACCGTATTTCCCGCACTATAAGGGGCACTTAAAGTCCTTTAATTTTCTTTAAAAAATCGACGGTGCGCGTTATGTATGAATTCTGGTTGTGCTCACTGACCTCTAACCAATGTTATGTGGTACATGGTGCTCAAAGTCTGTCAAAAAATATTTTATGACTTTGGTAAGCTACAAAGCCGCACTTACAGTACGAGTTCATTTCAGCATATAAATGGTAACAATGTTTCAATCCTTTACAAAAACACACAAACTACTACTTACTTTAGAATTTCATTTTTAGACCTTGTGCTCAAAACAGTCATTGAAAAAATTCTCAAATCTAAAATCCCAGCTGTTCTCATCCTGCTCCTTTCTTGCCTTCCTTTTTTGAGTACTGTTTTTTTGGGGGGCTTGTTAAAGAGAATTTCTAATTTATGTTGCAGGTAGACTGATGAACTACTTTGAGTCACAGATCATTTACTTCCCATCATGCCACTCTGGCATGAAAGGTTTACAGAAAAGCCGCCTGTTTTTAATACATGCCGAAACCTTGAAACACTGGTTTCAGTGTTGACTTCACTCACATGTGACTTCATTAACACATGCCTCAACACAATTTCATCACAGATGAAATGCACTTTTAATGCATTTCTGAATTAACATCACATTTCTAAACCCAGAAGCTATGTCCATCTGTTCTGGATATGTAGTTCATGTGTTTAATAATGCAATGTAATAATGTAATAATGTAATATATGCTTTGTTAATTCCCATAGGGAAATCTTGAATATTTTCAGTTAACAACGACAAGCTCAACTGTAGTGCGTTTATTTAACTCTGCAACAAAAAATCTATACATTCCCTCAGATGATTAAAAACACAAACAAAATGATCTGACTGTAAATAAACGAAGGTTAAGTTAATCTGATTTCACAAATTCAAAAAGTGGCCAAAAAACCATTTTAAACCCTCCCGTAGTCACA